CCTGTAAGGGAGTTCTCCACAGGAAAGGCCAAGGGAGTGGGCGTCTTCCCTCTCCCTTGGCCACGTCTTTAATGCTTTATTAGACTAGATTACTGCTTTCATTTACAGCTTTGTAGTTTAATCCTTTTCGCGTTTTCATAGTATATAAGGAAATATCACTCACTTCTTCAAATTAAATTCTTCCACAATTTTCCATACTTATATAAATCAATTTTAGAGAACTTCATATCACTGGTATAGAGCGATAGACGAATTGATTAATTAAGCCTTGTGATGCGCCAAAAGCGGTCTCAAGGTAGTTCAACGTAGTTAAGTACGCGGGAGCCTTGTCGACCTACTTAACTGCTGTGCTGAATTTGATTCTGATAAAATAGTACCAACATCAGGGGGTAAAGCCACTAATGAGGCAGAAATTGGAAAAATTAACGGGACATAGACGGGGGTCTATTAGGTCGCAGAAATTCTTAGTGACAGTAGGGTTTCTTTCTTATAATGTCTTAATTCTGGGTGTCATTGAAGTCTTGTTGTAAATCCCCCCCAGCCAAAATACCAGTGTGATGAGTTCTTTATAATCGAGTTTATATAATTACAACATCTTTCTATCATCGTTTTCGTAATATACATATATGCTTCCGATAACACAATTACGTCATTCGCTCGCTGCATCCAGAGAAATCTACCCATTTCGTAACGCACAGTTCAGACACAACGCCTCTCTTTCACTCTAATTCGCTCATATACATATACATATAATATGCCGCTCACTCACATCCCAATCCTCTCGCTTTCGCTCGCCTCCGTTCATTTTTACTGCTTTATTTACCGCTTTCAGTAGTAGAAGATTCTCCGCTCCAAGCAGACCCATTTTCGTTTCTTCGTCGCTTCTCCAAGATTTTTACCATTGAAATTCATGACTTTAAATCCCTGTGTTCGACCTGGAAACTCACCAGTAAAAAGAGTATAAATAATTGTGATAACTATCCAGGGTCTACAACCATACAGTTTCTATATCTGATCATTCTTCTATAAGAACTTTACTCATTGATTTTCGAATAAAATTCCCTGCGAATTGATATACAACCTACAACAATAACCAAACTATATTTCTCTGTTATCAGTGTGCTTAAGTGTTGCATTGTAGCAAGAAATTTTTCACCAAATAATAATTTTTTCTCATGTTGACCGGTGAGTGCAGGGTCGAACTCAGGGCATAAGTGTAAGAAAAATTCAAGTAAAAATGAATGCGAGTATGTGAATCAAGATTTGAATTAACGATGCATTGCAGGTAACTATACAATTGAATTCAAATGTGAGTACATAATTAAATGAGAGGTAGAGATGAGAGATGAGTGAAGTGAAACGCAAGATTGAATGCGACAATGACGGATGAAATATTGTGATAGGTGAGTGGATGTGTTAATGTTTAATGAGTTGCTACTTAATTAATGATACGGAAAGGAAAATGAATGCCCGTCAAATGAATGATCGTGAATGCGATATATGTATAAACTTTGTGTGTTAGAAGGTTGAGCGAAAGTGATCACAAAAGATATTTACTTGCTAATGTACCCCGCGATTTTAGGACTTATTAGTCTCTAGGTACTCTGGAAAGCTAAATCAATAATTTATTATTGAGCTAATGATCTATTCCTAAATTCATACATCACTATCTTGCGAGTCGTTCTCATCGACACTCGCAATTGATGAATCAATTAATCAATTTGCTACCTACCTTTTACTATATTTTCTAAGTCAAATTACGTCCAAAAAGCTGCTTTCGCAAGCATCTTGGATCTACTTAGCAACGTGATTTCTTTTTGAATTCGTCTAACTAGATCCGATTAAGTGATTTATATGTATCTTCTAAATCCATTATGTTAATGTACTTTACAAATATTTATCTCAAGTGTACGTCATCTATTGGTAAGAATGCGATTGAGAAGTTATGATATGTCATTACTCAGGACTAAGTGAATTGAATGTACGATTACACTATAAACTTAACATTGTGTTTTAGCTACAAATTCAACTTGCACAAAGCTTGTAAATTTATCTTAAGTGCGAAAATTAAATAGGATGGGTGGCGACCACACGACTCCTATCACAAGTGCTGTTGGTTACCCGCTTCCAGCGTCCAGAGCTCCTTATATCTTGAGCTCTGAGCTCTTCTCCGAACATAGCGAATTTCAGATTGTAAAATCTTGATAAATAAGCTCCAAATTGGATCCTTTTGGTAGGTGTTGGCCAAGCTTCTAGAAGGCAGCAATTGTTATTAACAGCTGGTGAATTGATTTTTCACTATTCAATTCTGCAGATGTTAATTTCTAATAAATGGCCAAGATGAATTTTGACACTAACTGAGACTTGGATTTTTATCAATTCAACTCTCCTTCTCCAAACAGACAACTTCTCTTGCCAAATTTCGCATTTCAAACATTTTTCCAATTTGCGACATAGCATCAGACAAACTGGCTCGTATTCTCTGTTTTTGCACGAAATTTTTCATCTTCTCCTAAAATGCATTTCTTTAACAATTTTCATATATGAAAAACCTCAAAATAAAGAGATGTTCCCAAAAAAAAATTATAAAATTTGGTTCTATAATGTAAGTAAAAAAATAAATGAATGTTTATTGAGTTTTTAATCTGATATAACACGATATAACGAAGAAAAAAAGACTCAATAAACAAAAAAAAATGTGTTCCGTATTGCATATGGTCGATCTAATTAATAAAGTATCATCATTTCTATATCTAACATAGATTGCAGTTAAAGTGCTTATTTGGTCAAATTAACAATCTGCTGTTTGGTTTGTTAATTTGACAAAATCAGCAAACTAACATGAAATAATTGGCAACTCATCACGCGACGAATAATATATTATCAAGGTAATACATTAGGGTGTGTTTGTTTGGGGGATTTAATAAGATTTCTACTATTCATCCAATTTTTTCCCCCCAAAAACATCAAATCAAACACCTATTTTTCATTTTTTATATTATACTAAAAATCAATTTTACATTCAAAACATCACATCAACATCTATTTATATCACATCATACAACTATTCAAATTCAAAATTTTTACTATTCAAATCCCAACTCAAAATCCAAACTCCCAAACAAACACACCCTTACTTGAAACAATTATCAAATTTTCGCAAGAAAAGTAACATATATTGTACTCCCTCCGTCAACTTACACATTAAACATTTACTTTTTGGCGTAATGTTTAAAAAATAATAGTATTTTAATTATAGTGAGTAATTAAAAGTAGTGTAATGACATTTTTACCCTTACTTTTTGGTGTAAAAGTAATGATGTAATGTAAAGTAAAGATATTTGTGGAAAAAATGAGGTATTTAGTGAAATGTTTACTTTGTAATTGGACGTCCCAAAATAAAAATATGTATACTTTTTTGTTGGACGGATGAAGTATTATATATTACTTTCTCCGTCCCGCCAAATATGATATTTTTTTTCGTTTTTGTTTATCCAAAAAAAAAATGACTAATTCTATTTTTAGTAAGTTCATTTTTTAAAAAAAAACAATTTTAATAAATATAAATAAATTTAATTAAATTTTTAATGCTAAAAATATTTAAAAACCAACGACACTACTCATATAAAAAATACTCCCTCGCTCCGTCAAATTTACTCGTACTTTTCTTTTTAGTCCGCCCGCTATATTTATCACATTACTAATTTTAGCAAAATCAACAAATCAACATTTAATTAGTATCATTCAGAAAATATTTATTTACGACAAATATCATTAACTTTATTACATTACGTCTTTTTATTTACTTTAATTTCTAGCTAAATTTTTAAAAATACCCCAAATTACATATAACATTTTCAATAAAATATCATATTTCTTAGTCTCTGCGGATCCAAATGGACTTAATTTAATGGGGGGATGAAATATAAAATAATATCATAATTTATTATTAGTAATTGACAAAATTGTCCATAAATTCCTTATGATTTTAAATTTAGCGTATATTTCTTTTTTACTTTAAAAAATAAATGACACACCCTTATACTTCTAAAAATATTGTATTAAACTCCTCTATAATTTCGAAACTCAACGTAAATCCTCACTTTAATTTAAAAATTCCATAATGCCCCGTATATTTTCAAAACTGTTGCATGAAATTATTGTCATGGATAAAAAAATTATATTCTCATCGTATAAGGGAGATTTCATGTTGGTGAGATTTAATGCAACAGTTTTGAAAGTGTAAGGAGCGTAATGCAATTTTTAAAGTACAAAGATATTTTACGTTGAAATTTGAAATTGCATGAGAGTTATGAGCAATTTTACTTTAATAATTTACTAATTTACTTACCTAAAATATTATCTCCCTAACTAAAAGTTTATCTGACCCGGGACGAAGAAAATATATTAATATTTGCTACTTTTTCCTTTTTTTATCAACATTTGCTTATTAAATAAAATTACTGTTGTGCTAAGATCATCATACTTTCTCTGCCCTAAAAGAATTTTTATCTATTTTTTTATTTTCGTTTGTTACAAAATAATTGTGCTGTTTTTTACTTTAGTAATTGTGGTTCTTATTTTATAACAAAATTATTCTTACATTTCCACAACTACTCATAATTATTATTTTTACATATTTTTTTAAATTCTTAAAAAAACAAAAGTAATTTAATCTTTTATATTTATTTTATAGTCACTTTCAATTAAAAAAATAAATAAATGTATTAATATATTTTCAATAAAAAAATAAGGATAAAATAGATGAAACAAATTCAAAAAATATATTGGTGAAACGAAGAAAGTAACTTTTAAACAAAGGACATAATATTTAAAAAAGTGATAATTAAAATAAAAATTCGCATACCCTCGTATGAATACAAGAACCTGCTGCAATGAAGTAGAAAGTTTCATCCGTCGATTAATTAATTATGGTAACACAATAATGTAATGTAACGTAACATAATCAATCCTTAATGGAACTCCAATGCCTCCCCGTGTTGCTCTAATTCTCACATTATATTAATAAATAATATTTGGTAGCAGAGCTGGCAGGCAGCTGCACAAGTACAATCCAGAGCCATAGATCCACAAACATCACCATCCCATTTCTTACATTGCAGCAGCAGCAGCAGCTTAATCCCTCAATTAATTCTAACAACCTACGTTCATATCAAAATATGATCATTGCATGCTGCAGGGAACAATCAATCAATGCACTTTCTCTTCATCCTCTTCTTTTTCCTTTTCCTGTTCATCATCCTCCCTTTTGCTGCAGAGATCTTCTTCCTTGGGAGGGATCGTTGTCTCCAAAGCCCTCTTTTCCTGCTCTTCCTCTTCTCCATCTCTGCCCTTCGACTCCCCGTTCTTCTCTGCCCTAATTTTCAGCGTCTGCAGAAGCTCCTCGACCGCCCGGTTCTTGTCCCGCCGGTTCTTGATCAGCACCTCGCTGATGTCGGCCGGGGTCATCTCCGCCGGTTCGATGACCTCCCTGATCTCGTCTAGCACCTTCTGGTTTAGATCCCTTTCCTCCTCGTACCCCAAGTAATTCCTCAGCAGAATCGTCAATGCCGGAAAAGAGCAGTAGCTCATGTGTATGTGCATATCCATTCTCCCGCTTCTAAGCAAGGCAGGATCCAATTTCTCCATGTGATTCGTCGTGAAGACGAAGATCCTCTCGCTGCCGCAGCACGACCACAGGCCGTCGGTGAAATTCAGCAGCCCGGACAGGGTGATCGTGTTCCCTCCGTCGTCCGCCGCCGCCGCCGCCGTCTCATGGGTGTTCCTCTTACCGGCGGAGGAGGCGGCGCTGTTCTTGTTCTTGTTCCTGTTCGTGAGGCTTATGGAGCAATCGATGTCCTCGATGACTATGATGGACTTGGAACTCGTCTTCATCAATAGCTTCCGCAGCTCGGAATTGGTGTTCACTTCGGTCAATTCGAGGTCGTAAATGTCGTAACCGAGGAAATTGGCCATGGCGGCGATCATGCTGGACTTGCCGGTACCGGGCGGGCCGTAGAGCAAGTACCCTCTCTTCCAAGCCCGGCCCGTTTTCTGGTAGAAGGACTCCCCGTTAGCGAAGTCCCGAAGATCCGCCATAATCTGGGCCTTCCGGACAGGGTCCATGGCCAATGTATCGAAGGTACTAGGGTGCTTGAACGGTACGGACTCCCACGGATGCCCCCTGGAGTCCAACGAGCCCCCTCGGGAGTTCGTGTAAAGCAGACGGTCCTGGTTCTTCCGGCGCAGGTCCTTGGCCCTGTCCACGATGTAGTCGAGGTAGGAGTTGAGGACGAGGTGCTTGTTCGACTTTCGGACACGCAGAGTGAAGCCGCGCTTCTCCTCCGGCAGGGGCCGCCAGGAGAATGTCTGGGCCTGGCGCTGCGTGACGACGTGCTCCCATTCGAAGGCGGCGCCGGCGAAGGAGTCGAGGAGGCGGTCGTTGTTGGAGAGGCCGAAGGTGACGGAGGAGGCGTTGGGGGCGCGGGTGAGGCTGAGGCGGCTGCCGGAGATGGAGGCGGAGGAGCTGAGGTAGAGCTGGACGGCGTTGTAGAGCTCGTTGGTGTTGACGCCGTCAATCTCGGTTATGTCGTAGTAGCAGTAGGCAGAGAAGTAGCTGAAGAGGCGGTGGAAGAATTTAACGGCAGCGAAACGGAGCTCCGGCGGGACGACGGTGTGGAGGAGGCTCTGACAGAAGGCCCACACGCCCATCATCGAAGCCATCGTTGTCCAAATCTCCTTCATCTCTCTTTTTCTTTTCTTGTAATCGAAACAGAGAGAGAGAGAGATAGAGAAGGTGGAGAATTTTATTTATAGGAGCAGCCTGAATTGAATTGGGAATATGTCAAACTAGACTAGATGTATATATGCATACATACATACGAATACGAACACGAACAGAGAGATTATTTATTTATGTAAAGTAAAAGGTTGTGGGCTATGGAGAGGGGCAGAAGGGATTAACGATTAAGGGAATGGAGATGGATGTCTTATCAAGATATACAAGTATCAAACAAAATACGATAGTCTAGATAGAGAAAGCTGGCGGAGGAAGAGGAAGAGGACGAGGACGAGGACGAGGACGGAGAGTGTTAACCACCTCTTACTACTCCCAACAGAAATAGATTATCTTGGTAATATATAGAAACAAAAATATCTAATCTAAACAATATGAAAGAATTCCAACAGAATCGAATTGGGTTATCTGTACCAGAGTATATTAGGGCGGGATTAATTATACAAGTGATCAGAAAACTGATACAGAGAGAGAGGAAGAGGATATTTGGAAGACTGTGCAAAAAGTGGTGTTGAGAGAGAGAGAGAGAGAGAGGGATGTAAGAGATGCAAATATTGGAATATAGTGGAGGTAAGGATGGATTTGCAGTGGTAGTACAGCAGCAGTGGTGTGGTGTGGCTGTGGGCATGTATTCATTGAACAAAGAAAGGGAAGCTTTTTAGGACAGCAGAAGAGCAGAGCAGTGTAGGCTGCTGCAATAAAAACCTCTTTTTAAACGCAGGCAGGCAGGCAGAATGGCAGATGCCATCAAAACTTGATGGCTTCAACTCAAAACTTGTTTCCCCACACGTGAATTACATACAAAGAGTGTTGCTGTAGTCAGAGAGAGTCTCAGTCGGAGATGAGGAGGGCTCCATTTATGGCCTCTTTCGCTGACCTCAACATCTCATCTTACTTTCTTTTTATTTTTACTTATTTATTTCTTTATATTTTTGTTGTTGTCGCGTACAAACCCCAACCAGTTATCAAACTGGAAACCCAAAACCAACCATTTATTGGTCTTGCGATTTATCAACAACAGTTTCATCTTCTTACTTCACATTTTTTGGCATCTCTCACTCTTGCTCTCTGTCTCCGCTGGACTCCCGGTCCCGGATCGCCAGAATCATCTGCATCTGCACCTGCACTTGCACTTTGCTTCACACTATGGAGAAAATCCCCCAAGCTGGATCAAAATCTGGTGGAAATTAATACTCCCTCCCTACTATTTATTTTAAATGCTACTTCCGGTCAAATCAAGATCTCCCCTTTAAATTAATAAATTATTAATAATAAGTTATAATATTATTTTATATTTTTATATAAATAGTATTATTGATATTTTAAATATTTTTAATATTATAAGTCAATAAAATATATACAATATAGATAATATAGATAAAACTATTTATTTATTAAAGAGATATACAAAAATAAAAAGGTTTTGATATAATCCTACGTATAAATTTAATTAAATTAATTTATATTTATTAAATATATTTAAAATAAATAAATTTATTAAAAATAAAAAAATATCATAGAACGAATTAAAAAAAAAAAATTCATCATTAGTCGCGGAGGGAGAAATTATTATTATTATTATTATTACTGTAGTATTTGATGATGAATTCTGATCCAAATCTTCCTTGATAGTATAGCCCAATTCATAGGCACAGTGCTCAGTGTGTCCCGTCAGCTTCTGACTACTAACCACACCACACACTGTTGCCATTAATTAATTGTTTTTTAATAATAATAATAATAATAATTACTATTAATATTTATAAAGAAAAAACTTATAAAATTAGAAAAAGCGTGTCTGCTCGGGATAAATTAAGGTAGCTAGGCTACACAGAGCCTACCTAAATACGACTAGCGTAGATTTGTTGTTTTGTGGTGACACTTCTGAAAAGCTCTTCGCAACTTGTCCATCATTATATACAAATATATTTTGAGGTGGTCCTTTTTTATTCTAATAAAGTAACCTGTTAAATTAATATAATCAAAAGCATCACGTTTACTATTATTATTATTATTATTATTATTATTATTATTGTTGTTATTTTATTATTACTATAATCATTAAATTAAAATATAACTACTCTTTTCCAAATGATTATACCATTTTGTTTTTCTGTTTAAATAATTTTAGTATTCATAATTTTATTTTATTAAGTAATCATAATTTATTGTTTTTTTTCATTTATCTTATTATTTTTTAATTAACCTTTTAATAAAATCTCCGAATATATATACTTTGTTTTTCATTTGTTTTATTTATATAAAAATATTATTATTTTTTATTTTATGTATTTAACCAACAAAAATAGATATATAAAAAAGAATTAATATTCTCTCAGTTTTACATGTGAAATACTTGGTCCGTCCCAATAAAATAGTTTTGTTTACTATTTTTGTCCGTTTCAAAACAATAATTTTATTTCCATAAATAATCATATCACTATAAAAATGCCTTACTTTTTTTATTATTATTACACAATTGCCACTATTTTTTACACTAATACACTCACAAGAGAAAATATATATTTTACCGGTAATTTTTACCCCTATCAATATAATATTAATATTTCTTAAATCACATGCCAAACATAACCCAAACTATAGTTTTAGAACGAAGGGATTATTTAATTTCGATTAAAAAAAATTTAAATTGATAGTATTAAATGCATAAATTGTGCAAAATATGCAAAACGAATTAAAATAAATAATATTACATGATGGAGTCTATGAGATAGAGAGACTACAATGTATTATTGGAACAAGACAAGTCCTCATGCATCATCATCTCGCCTTGTTCAAAGCACTCGGACATCTCAGACGGCCAGAAACAGATATAGATGTCATGTATAATTCCTATATTTAATCAATCTATTAAAATAAATAAATTTTTTTGTCCCAATTCAAAGTATTTTTTAAATTATTTTTATCTGTCTCAATTCAAGGTATTTATTTTTTATTTTAGTAAAAATAATTATATATTAATATAAAAATATCATTAATTTTTTATCTATATTACAAATATTTCATTACACATAATTATTTTATATATAAAGTCATAGGACAAAAATATCAAAACTTCTTACACACTTCCACTAACTCATAAAATACTATTCCCTTCGTCTCATAACTATGAATCCATTTGCTTTTTGTACAGGGTTTTAGAAATATTAGTTTTATATTGAGATATAGTAGGAATAAAGTAGAAATGACTAAAATGACCTTATTAGCATTGTGTGATATAAATGTAATGATATTTGTGTAATATATTGGAAATTGTAAGGGTATTTGTAATATTAAATATATAGTACATTTACCAAAAAAAATGGATACTTTATTATGAAACATACTAAAATTAAAAAATAGAGAATATTCTTTCTTAATTTACTATAAAACCTCAAAATACCCATTTAGAGTGGGACATAGAAAGTATGATTTTCATGTTTGGATTTGTTTTTTTGGGAGATTTGGAGTAAAATCCTTCGTGTAAAAAAAAAAAAAAAAAAAAAAAAAGAAAGTACTACGTCCGTTCGGTTATAAGAGTACCATTTATTTTTTGTGTTGATCTTTGAATACTCCTTCCGTCCCGGTGCAAGGTTGTCGTTTACTTTTTGTACGTACATTTTTTAATATTTGTATTATAATAAGCTGTAGTGAAAAAGACGAAAATGGCCATATTAGTATTGTGTAATATAAAATAATGACATTTGTGTAATATAATGTAAGTTTGAAGGGTATTTATTATATTAGGTATGTAGTACAATTACTAAATTAGGAAATGATAACTTTGTTTTGGGACGGACGAAAATAAAAAATGACAACATTTCAATGGGACGGGGAGAATATTAATTTTTATATCAAAATATAGCACAAATTAATAAAAATTGCAAAAATACTTCAATTAGTGTCTTATAATATTAATAGAAAGACATTTGTACAAAAAATTATACAAATATAAGAATATTTTCAATGTTAAGTATAATGGCTCAAAAGGTAAATGTGACCCTTAGAAGTTGACGGAGAGAGTATTTAAATTTAGTTCATTTCTATTTTGAGAAAGCAATGTCCTATTTTTTATTTGTTTATATTTGACTTCCACAATTTATTTTACCTATGAAATCACAACATAATATAATGAATATTGTATGTACTTCCTTAATTTTATATAGATTTACATTATTTAATTACATACTCCAAAATTATCTTGTTGTACAAAAAATTTTTTAGAGTAATGTGCAAACTTTTATTTATGTACGACAATCAGTTGAATAAATTTAATCTAAAAAAAAACCTTAATAATACTCACGGTACCATATTGTGAATAGATTTATTTTTTCCAAATTCTTCCCCTGCTATTCAATCCTTTGCTGCCGAAGCACTCCGCCGAAATAATCGCCGCCAAGCCTAGCCACAGAAACCTCTGCCACTGTTGGAAGCCTTCCCTCACAGCCGAAACCTCCAATCCGGATTGACATGTCGGAAAAGACCTCCTTCACGAAGCAAAGTTCGAAAAAATAAGTTAAAATTTATGGTTTTGGTAACATCAATTTTTGAGTTTGTGGTGTGCTAAAATTTATTTTTCGTGCCTCGGTTGGATTTGTATAAGTCTAGCTGCCGGACTATTTTACTTTGGTATTTTTTTGTACCATCGGATCGAATATGAATTATTTTGATGCGTTTGAAATTATAGATGATGTTATTGTGTATAGAAGTACCTTCATTTGTATTTTTTCAAGTTTACATTTGTAGTAAAATAATTGGAATGTGAGGCGGGCGGAGTTCCTTATTTTTTTCAAATACTGTAGGCATACTTTTCTCTTATGAAGTGGCTTTTTAAAAATCAAAAGTGTCTGATGATGTCTTTATCATATTGTTGGTTGTATATGTATCTATTTTGTCAATGGGTGAAAATTTTGTTCATTTTCTATATTATTTTTTAATGCCTCGGATTTCCTTTGGTGTGCCATGATTTTAAATGTACATGTCTCTTCAAGAACATTACTTACCTATGTAGTTATGTTATAAACTTAAAATGGTGTTGTGTCTGTTGTTATAAATGATGACAAATCTGAGAAAGAATACAAAATATTTACCTCCAAATTTGCTATAGCTTTCTTCTATACAAAGATGACTAAACTAAAAATAAAGATAAATGAGTGCACGACTTTGTTTGTTTTTGCCAATATTGTATTTACAACCACAAACTATCATGTTCCAATTTTTTTGTTCGTGTACGATACATACAATTCGACGGTTCAAGAGTTATTGGATATTCATTTTTTCATTTATTTTGAATCAATCTGTAAAAGATAATATCTGATATTTGTCATTATTATTTTTCATCTTTTTTTTTTTTATATATCCAATACCGCAGTTAGATGAAATGACATTTTCAATCATAAAAAGTCAAGCAGTCTTGAAAATATGGTAGTTATAGAATATTCTACGAATATTCAATTGCACATATATTATATGAATGCTCGAATTATACGTATATTATATGAACAACCTTTTTATTCTACTAGGAAATATAAAGTCTAAATATAAGAATTTTAATATTTTTAATGAGTATATATACATATTTTCCAGGCTTATTATATAATAAAATGGGTTTATAAAGTAAAAATTAAGATATATACTAGTACGACTAAAGTATCTATCATGCATATAGATGTATATGTTGTTGATATACAAGTATATAAATATATATATTATCATGTTTTATCCTTGAATAATTTTGATTATTGATTTTTTAGCAATATCCCTATCATTATATTGGCATTTATCGTCAATAAGATGCATTTACCACCAAAAATATTATGACAAAAGCACAAAATTTGAGTG